ACAACCACCACCACCACCGCCGCCGCCGCCACCACCACCACCACCACCACCAATTTGCAACTGGACGCGGTGCGAGCGGACTCAGCACATAGCGGGCAGTTACCGCTCTGGCACTCTCTAAAAGTGAAACCGGATTATGTCCATGACAGCTTGACCTACACTAGCTAACTAGTGGTTGGCGCTCAGAAAGTGGGTTGTACCTCACGGCAGCATTGTTGCGGGCTTCTTGCAAGGCTTGCGATCTGTCTGCGGCTGGCAACTGCGGCTGCGTCTCTCAGACTTTGAGCAGGCGAGCTCAGTTGGTACGTGCAAAACTGCGAAGCTGTAAGTGCAGTGTGGCTAGAAAGTTTGGCCGAGCCACCTGCGCAAGAATGATAAACTAGTGGCTTGGCCCAAGGCCACTGGCTGCCTACCATGATTGGTCCTGCCAACGCCAGGAGCTAGACGACGAGGAGGCCCAGTCGGAGGATTGCCACCATGGACGATCATCCCATTGACGTCTGGAGCGAGTGGCATCGTCCTTCTGGCGCTTGTCCGAGACAGGCCCCTGGTCCTCGGATTGCCTTTTGTCTGGGCGAAGCCACTTCTGCTTGGCCGGCGTATCCCCCACCTTATGGTCGATGCGGAGCTGGCGGACTCGTTTGCCATCCTTGGGCATGTCAATGATCATCCGGTTGATTAAACCCGCACGAGCGGCAGGTCTGGTCGTAGATGGCTTGACTGGTTGATGCCACGATCTCGAAATTGTCGTCTGTCTCCAAAGTGGCCTGCATCTCTGCCTGATCCCACCAATGATCCCAAAGAAGCCCGTGAGGAGGGGGAGAACGTGGTATTTGTCACCTTCACCTAAAGCAATTGTGAGGAAGCCGTCGGTGCCCATGACTGGCTGTGCTGTCATAGCCTCCGCCCACGTAGTGCCTTGATCCGCTGCCACCAGGTTCAGGGGGGCGAAGATCCAGGGTGGCTTCGTAAGAATGCGTATGGGATCCTGCCACATACGAAGCGTTCAGAAACCTTGAGCCCTCCACTAACGGCCTTCTCGTTGATGATAAGGATGGTGGCCAAGGCATGCACCCAGGTGAACATTTCGTCGGATTGACAGATTTGGACGATCTTGTCACGCTTGGGAAGGGCGTTCTCTTGATCCTCCAAGGAAGGGCCAGGCTCGGGGTCAACCATGGTATAGACCGTGACTGGACCCTGCTACTTGACCCGCATCATTGTGTCCACCTCAATCGTTGGCTGTTCCGTTGAAAACAAGCCAGGGCCCTCTTCAGAGCTTGTGCTGCCGCTTGCTGGGCTGGCCGAGTGTGGCTACCGATCGTCCCCTTGTCCCGCGAAGCAAGATGATGCAGTCTGGGGGAGGGCCAGCAGGCTCCCGAGGCGGTGTGTGGCCCGGAAGAAGGGGTGGCATTGCCACCGAGCCTTAGGAGGGGCCGGGGCTGCAGGGGTAGCCGCCTCAGCATTGTTGGGAGGGGGGGGAGCTGGATTGTGCACACCTCCTCGCGCAAAGTGCACGAGCACGCCAATGTCATTGGGGAACTCGAGCAGGTGGCCGTTCTTGCGACAGCCAGCCAGTGTAGTGTCTCTCCTGCTTGACCGCGTCCATGCTGTCGTCAAAAGTGTTGTTGGTGACGCTGGCCTGGACGTCGTCACAGATGAGTTCACCACCGGGCAGAGTCCTCAGAGCTGGTCACACGCCGAGCATCCAGGGCCTCGGAACGGAGACTGCCTGATGGTGGCCCGTCTTTCACTCGCCCTGGGGTCGCCTTTTTTCTGCCAGTTGCAGCATCTGGTATAGGCCACGGTGACCCTCTTCTTGGTGACAAAGTAATGGCCGTCATTGGCGAGGTCACCCATGGACTGGAGGGTCCCGCTGAATTGCTCCTGCAGAAGGTATACGGGGCCGTAGATGGGGGAGATGTTCCAGCCCACCGCTGGTTCTTGCCCCATATCGTCCTTAAGGACGCGCCAGAGGGTTTTGCAGAAGATCATGTACTCGAGATTCGCAACCTTGCTCATGACCTCTTTGGAAAAGGCGTGCGCTATGGCACGCATGAAGAGGGGATGTCTAGGCTGGCCGTAGACGACACCTTGAAAGATGATCCTTCTTGATGCCGATGGCCATGAGCAAGAACTCCGACGGCAGCTTGCCGAGCTGGGTTGGACCGAGTCCCCTCTGCTCGCTCAGTTCCTGTTGGGCAGGGCCCCAGTCCTCCGCCAGGATCCGTAGCGTAGGAGAGAGTCAAACGTGACCCGAAAAGCAAACTTGATGTCAAAGTACAGGCCTCCATGGCTGTAGTGGTATATGTACCTGAAAATGTCAGCTCGATGGGCAGGGTGCTTGAGATTTGAGCACAGGTGCGCACCATGGTATCCCGCATGCAGAGTGAACGTAGTGAAGAGGGCCTCATCGTTGCAGAAGGTGCGCTCAAAGTCAGGGAGGAAGTCCCTGAAGATTTCCCGTGGGCCCTTCTTTTCGCCGTGGATGTAAGTTTGGAAGGCGGTCTTGGGCATGGGTCTCTGCATAGCCCCCGGTTCCAGATAGCGCCGCAGGACCCACTGTTTGTGCGAATGACGGGCTGCAATGGAGCCCACTTAAGTCTTGTAGAGTCCGCGCCTGGCAAAGCTCGGCCGTAGCATGCATCTCATGGTGGCCCCAGTCCACTTTGACATTCCATGAGCATACGACGAGAATGTGCACCGAGTTAGGGCGACTGCGTCGCATGGTGTCCAGAGCCCTGCCCAGGAGCAGGCCAATGGCCTTCTGAGCCACCGCTGGACGAAAGTGGCAGCCATTGCTGCTGTAGAGCTGGCTGATCAAGTCGGGGTCGTCACCTTCAAGGCTCATAATAGTCTGGTCCGACAGTTCGTGTGCAGCCAGGCCGTAGTGTTTCTGCCGGGGACCAGACGTGCTGATACACTGCCAAGACAGTGGTCCGAGCTCCATGCCAGTCGAGTCTGACCTCCAGGACCCGGCCTTGCACATGCTCCTTCCAACGTATGGTGTTAGCCTGCACCTCAGGAGAAACCAAAACCATGACGCCATCTGCCCTCGTAGTTGAAGGCTCCTTGGAGCCGCTCTGGCGCTTTCGGGATGCGTCTTGACGGGCCGAGCCCCCTCTTTTGGTGCTGTGTGGCCCGGGCCCCCTGCTCCTACCGCTGCTTCAATTGAAACACACGCAGAGGCTGACGAAACACAATACCAACCTGAGGTCGTGAACTCGGCTGAAGCTTGCCCGTGTGTCTCCTGCAGGATTAGAATGTCGCTGACATCCTTGCCTTCGGTCTGCAGCCAAGACTTCATCTCGGCCCACTGTTGCTGGCCTAAGTGCCCTGCGCTCCAGGAGAGGACACGTATGTCCTTGTTGGCAAGACCTGCTCGTGGCCTTGGTGGCCGGCTTTGCCGCTGGCCTGGGTGCCTTGGAGGGCAATTGCCAGCCCGTCTCACCTGAAGTGGTGTCAGCTGCTGTCCTCGGTAAGCCACAGGTTGTTGCGCGTCAGTGGCGTGGCGACAGGCTTTTTTGTAGGATCGCTTGCGCAAAGAAGAATAATTTTGAGAGTGCACAAGCAAGATTGCCATCCGCGTTTTCGCTTCTGAAGTCATCAGGAGCTCCTTCCACCCTGCGGAAAGTGGAAACCCTACCGCCTCCCACGTGCTGCGGTGTCTTAGACAGAGGACGTGGGCCGGGAATTGGGACCCAGTTCAGACGATTGCTTCAGCAGGAGCACATGGCACGTAAGCGGGACCACTCCGTAAGGTTAAAAGAAGGCCTGTTTGGAGCCTTTTAGAAAGGGAGTTGGGTACCCGCAGCCTGTTCGGAAGCTCCTCTAGACTCGCGGCCGTCTGAACCGTGGCGGCTACCACCACCACCACAACAACAAGAACAATGATGACAACAACTACTACAACAGCAAAGCAACAGTAACAGCAGCGGCGGCAGCAGCAGCAGCAACTGCAACTGCAACTGCAACTCCAACAGCAACAGCAGCAGCAGCAACAGCAACAGCAACAGCAACGGCAACGGCAACGGCAACAGCAACGGCGACGGCAACACCAGCAGTAATAGCAGCAGCAACAGCAGCCCAACAGCAGCAGCGACCGCAACAGCAACATATGCCGGAACCGCAAGCATGATGCACAATGGTTGTTTTGACAGACCGACGCGTGGAAGGTGCAGCGAAGTTAAATGCAACTTTTGCACGCTGTCGGGGTGTGGTGCAAACAACGAATCACTCGGCAGGGACGACGTTTCCAGCATTCCTTCTTGACTTGGCGCGCGCAACCAGCACGTCTGGCGCGAAATTGAAAGTGGACCGTCCCATGTGAGGTTCGAGACGTCGCTTCTTGTTCTGCCGTTGGTGTTTCCTACTGGACCACGCTCATTTTTGTGCAATCCAAGTTTTCTCACCAAGTCTCACATCCTTCCGAAATTTAGGGGGATGCCGCACCCTGCGGACTGTAAAGCTGTTACGGTTGAGCCTTTAGGTTTCGGGAACTAGTGCAGTTGTTTCAGTACTGCGAAATCTGTGGTGATACCTGCAGGCCTCGATTTGGAAAAACTGCGATAAGATGCCAATCACCGAGCGAGGGGTCTATGCTCCTTCTCTGACAAGGTCTTTCGGGATAATAGCAGGCACTCTGAGTTTCGTGGTAGGGGGGGTCACTGGGTATGCCTCGCTTCGAGGCTCTGCACATCTTTTAAGTGCAGAGCCAGGGCCGGCTCGCGGCATTTGCGGATCATTTTTGAATGCCCTTTTGCCTTTTGTTCCGACAGGGACCCGTGCACGGTGAGAAGGAACTTGGGATGCGCTGACACTTTTCTCCTCTACCGTGCACAGCACAGCACAGCACCGATGTGGAATCGGGACCCTGACTGAAGCTCGATGAACTTTCCGAATCGACTGGAGTTGTCATTCCGGAGGGTTCGGGCCTCAGCAGCTGAGTGCGATTTGCCGGATATGCTGACCGACGAAATCGCATGTTGCCGATCGGAGTCATGGTGATCCAAGTGATCCAAGGGCTGCACATTCCCGAAAGCTTCCAGCAGAGGATTCGACTCCAACACCTCGCCACGATTCTGCTCACAGAATCAGTCAGCAATGGCGAGCAAGCGCAGCTTCAAGAAATGCTCCATGATCGCAAGCAAGCGAAGCCACTCGCAATCCACTTGCAGCCACGGCTACCGATGTATATAACCCTGCCAGCCTGCTTTTCCACGTCAGTAACCTGGCAACACGCTGTTGTGCATGCTCGCTGGCCGCGCAAGAACCAGCTACAGTATACAGTATACACCCTGGCGGGAGAAGGCCTGACCGTCGGCAGATCCCGCAAGGGCTAGAAACTTCATCACAAACCTGAGTCATGTGCTTCAGCTAGGGGATTGCAAGCATGCTTCACCCACATGCTGCATGCGCGGCCGACACTACTAGCAAGAGGCGCTTGCTTTGTCGTTTCCGTCTTGCCTGCACCCGATTCCCCACTGATGAGAACGGTCCTTAGCACATATGCAGCTTCATCTGCAGGACAACCTCCAATCTGCCACTATTGCCTTAGCGAAGAAACATCTACTAAGGTTTCGGCTGGGACTTGTGACGATCACAAATCCCGCGATATGAGGCGTTTGATGTGCTGAACACATGCGGCCTCGAACATCAGCAAAGTATAGCATACTCGCGGAATGGCTTGCCAAGCTCGAAGCTTTGTAGATGGCTTTGTCGTGATGAAGTTCTTCAGAATCTGCCGGCACGAAATGCAAAGATTTGTTCGGTGCTTCATACCACAGATCGGCCTCTTCATCATACAAGCCAGGAATATGCTTGAAAGGGTTCAATGCCTTCATCGCAACAACAAGATTGGCTTGCTGCCGAAGAGGAAACGCGAATCCGGCGTGCATGCAGGTTGTTTGGGTGCCACACGATGAGGATAGGTCCGGTAAATGTGTAGATCTTGTCTATATCGAAACGATTCCTTAGTGATGTCTTGCAGGGGGAACTCATGAGCTGAAGATTACACTCGGATCCAAGCTGTAGCGAGCTGAGCACAGCCGGCTCGTGTAAGTGCGTCAACCTGCACTGTCGCTGCCCCGGCAACGTGAACATGGGCAACGGAGCAAGACTCATTGTGGCAACAGTTAAGCCACGAGCTGCGTCAAATCATCTAGCACAGACAAGCCCTCCGATGTGAAAACATCGGACGTCCTTCAGAGCACGGATGTTCGAGCAAGGTCGGAAGCCGATTTTGCTGGATCGATGCTCCTCAGGAAAATCGGTTCGTTTGGTCCCAGGACCAGTCGACCATTTGGATCTTCGGCTGTCTTGACGATGATCTCCTGAGAGGTTGGACTCACCGCTTGCAAACGTTGGAAGGCTATTGAAACAACAGCTGCGCTGGGCGCCTTTTCGCTCGATGTGACAATTTCAGCCTGTAACACAAACCGAGCAACGAGAGCTTCGACTGCACATCCGACATCATGCCTGTATCCAGACTTCTTCCTCGTGTTTCACCTGTGCGTGTGCTTCGCCCATTTGGTGATCTAGCGGTTCTGCTATCTTTGCGTTGATCTGGGCAACCCACCCATATCAGTGTTCCCTGCGCATACTGGTTCGACATTGGGCCGGGGACACGCTGTGAATCCTGCAGCGGCGTCGGAAAGCAACACTGTGACTATGGGTACCATGAGGCCAGCACAGTGCAAGGACATGGCCGAATAGCACCAATCCAGCTACGGACGGCTTGCCCAACGCTTGAAAAAAATCAGCAAGCAAGATATCGGAACAAATGCTGTGTCAATTTCGGGCTCGCGGCCGCAACGTTATTATCCAATGCACATTCTGAAGCGATGAACTTCGGGTGAAATCGGAGTTGTATAAAGGGAACCGACGGCTGTCTACTTACTTCACTGGATTTATGTGCCGCTCGTGCTAGACTCACATTGAAACCATCATTTCGCCCTACGTTGTCCAATTTTTTTCTTCGCACCTGCTTCCGAAGCAGAAAGTCAAAAAAGAGTCCAGCAGCTCCCGCATGCTCCCGCAATCGCACCTCCAGGCCGTGGGGTCCTCTGGCCCTGTGGGCAGCTCCAGGAGCCCAGCGGCCCAGCGTCGGCTTCAGGCTTTAAGGCCTGCCCTCCTCGTCCGGAAGGCCGTGGGCGAGGCCGACACAACCCAGGGCTTCCTGGTACAGAAGAAAGACACTTCGCAACGCCGCGCGAGCGCTGCAAAACCCTCGTGCAAGTGCACCGCACCCCCAAGGCACATGGGATGACTTCGTCATGCTTCGTACGCCAGCAGCTACAACACAAGATGTTTTTGCGCAACGCCCATCTCTTTAACAGACACACGTTGTGCATCACTGAACCTCAAGCCATCTCAAGCCAGCCCACATTATCATCACCATTATCGGCACATCGAGGTCGTCGCCAACGGGGCTTCCCTGCGCGCCATAGCTTCCAGCTTGCGCTCGACGCTACCATTGTCTCGCCTGTTTCGAAGCGGCGACGCCCAACCACAGGTTGATGTGCACCCGGGCCATTCTGTCGAGGCTGCTGCCACATGCACGCAAGCGCCACCCAGAGCTAGGCAGGGCGCGCCGCTGCCGCCTCGTCGTGGTCGGCATCCCCAGGTGTCCTGTGCGCACCTGCCCGACTTAACCACAAGGGAGAACCCCCACCTCGCGCGAATTGTTTCTTTCTTCTTGCTACGCACCGTTTTACCGGCGTCCGCCAAAGCAAGGTCCCAGCACAGACCCGTTTCCTAGTACCAATCAGGGTCGAGGAGCTTAGGGTCTCCTATGTTTCTGTGTCCAGACAAATACTTCTGCGCACAATCGATGTCCGTCGACGTCGAGCCTGCAACTGGGTACCGGGAGGGGTCGGACTCCTTCGCTTTCGCTTTCGCCCGTCCGAGTCCGCTGATGAAGACTACGGTCCTATAAGGACATGGGGATAAAGAACACGCATTCAAGCAGATTCGTCACTGTACAACTTGGACAAACTGGTTGACGAAATCATCTGCTCTGCGTTTCCATGCACTACTTGCGGCTACATACATCCAACACTGCGTGTCGGGAAACTCTAACTTGCAGAAGGCTCGCAGCTTATCATCCCATCGGGTCAGTGGGCGTCCTTGTCGGCGCTTGGGTGCCGAAGAAAAATTGTCATGCCAGTTCGGCTCGGGATTCCATGTGACCACATGTGTCACCCAACCATTGGTCTGCGCAACTCGGACGGCAAATGAATGCTGACACCTGGCCAAACGTCTTGTCCATGCTTCGATGGGGTGCTGATGTAAAGCCTTGGCCACCCAGCTCTTCATGCGGCTCATGGTGTCGTGCCAGCTCTCGTC